ATGTCTGTTTGATTAAGATTTGTCTTCCCTTCCAGACTATGAATTCCAAGAGGATCAGAAACTGAAATTTTATATTCACTATATACACAACACTCAGTGCAATGACTAGAACATGCTAAGTGCCCCATAGATATATATTAATAGAGCAGTATTTCACCTACCAATGTCTTTGGGCTGACATGGTGTTTTTAAATTGACAAATTTTGCACTAATTACAATATCATGAAATTCTTCTTAAAATCAATATAATCTGACTTCACATGACTTTCATTATAGCATGGAAGCAAATGATGACAGCCTAACAACAGCTTCCTCCATTAAAGAGCAAAATCTCTATGGTTTGCTGAAGATTCCTAAACTTATTATTATCTTTAAATCCCCCACCCCAACTTTACAACCTTATTTAATTTTTTGGCCCTATTATTGAATATAGTGTGAAATGCACAAAAAATTTTAGCTACAAAGTAGAGTAGGAACATAGTATAGAAAATGATCACTTCTGCCTATGAAAGTCTAGCAAGGTAACTCGTAGGTGATAACTTTATATCCATGGTGCCTTGATCAGGTGAGGAAGAAAGAAAAAGGCACTTTTTACATAAGAAGGTAAAAAGTCATGATTTTTAATTATTGTAATCACATCTGTTCCATGTAAGGTTATACAGGTTGGTGGGAGAATCTTATTTTGCCCTTGAAATCATTCCTTCAAGACTGATACTTAAGGGACGCCTGGGTGGCTCAGTCGGTTAAGTGTCTGCCTTTGGCTCAGGTCATGATCCCAGGGTCTTGGGATGGAGTCCCGCATCGGGCTTCTTGCTCAGCAGGGAGCCTGCTTCTCCGTCTGTGTGCAGCTCCCCCTGCCTGTGCTTGCTCTCTCTCTGTCAAATAAATAAATATCTTACAAAAAAAAAGACTGATACTTAAGACAGTCTGATACTTAATGAAACAACCCAGATTCTAATAACAGATGGGTGGATAAACACACTGTGCTAAATTTTTAAAATGTAATCCTATTCATTAATAGAAAATATATCAAATTACAGATTCATAGAACAACTGGATGATTCTCAAAAATATTTTGCTAAGTCAAAGAATATGCACAAAAAGACCATATAAGGTTTCATTCTATTTATATGAAATATAGTTAGGAAAGCACATTGTGATTATCAAAGGCTGGGTATGCAAGAAAGTAACTGTCAGCAAAGGGATAAAAAGGCAATTTCGGAAGTGATGAAATGTTCTATATATCAACTGTGGTGGCAGTTATATGGATATACACATTGTCAAAACACATTGAATTGTACTTAAAGTGGACACATTTTATTGCATGTAAATTACACAGTAATAAAGTAACATTTTAAAAAACCTATAATATTTTGTGATTATTACCAAATAAAAGTAAGTTAGGGATAAAAGAAGTTAAATCACATGCTCAAAGGGCATATATCAAATTTTAAAAGCAAAATTCAAATTCATTTGTACCCATTATCTATTATATAGTACACTTTATCCAGAGGGATTTGTTATTTGTGAAGAAAAAGATGTATCCATTAATAGAATAAAAAATTAAAATTATATGATCATCTCAATAGATGCATAAAAAGCATTTTATAATACTCACCATCTTATCATAAAAACTCTCAACAAATTGAGTGTAGAAAGAGCATACATGAATATAATAAAGGCTATATATGAAAAGCCCACAGCTAATATCATACTCAATGGTGAAAATTTGAAAGTTTTCCTCTATGGTCAGAAATAAGACAAGCGTGGCTACTATCACCACTCTCATTCGACATAATACTGGAAGTCCAAGCTAGAACAATTAGGCAAGAAAAAAGCATCCAGTATCAGAAAGAAAGAAGTAAAATTGTCTCTGCAGATGATATGATCTTATACATAGAAAACCCTAAAAACACTATCAAACAAATGTTAGAATAAGTGAATTCAGTAAGTTTATGCAGAATACAAAACCAAAATGCAAAAAATAAGTTGCATTTTTATATACTAACAATGAACTATTTGAGGAAGAAATAAAGAAAAAATCTCATCTAAAAAACACCAAGAAAAATAAAATAGGAATAAATTTAACCAAAACATTAAAGATCTGTACACCAAAAACAAGTCTTTGATGAAAGAAATTGAAGAAGACATAAATAAAAAAGATATCAAGTGTTTATGGATTCAAAGAGAGTTAAAACTGTTAAAATGTCCATACGCCCCAAAGCCATCTGTGGATTCAATGCCATTCCAATAAAAAAATCCAATGACATTTTCACAGAAACAAAGTAAATAGTCTTAAAGTTCATATGGAACCACAAAAGACCTCAAATAGCCAAAGCAAACATGAGAAAGGACAAAACTGGAGGCGTCACACTTCCTGATTTCAAATTATTTTACAAAGCTAATGTAATGAAAACAGTATGGTACTGGCATAAAATGAAACAAAACAAAATGAAAAAAAAAAAAAAACAGGTACATACACCAATGAAACAGAATTGTGAGCCTAGAAATAAACCCATGCATATAAGGTCAACTAATATTTGACAAGGGAGTCAAAAATACTCAATATGAAAAGGATGGTCTCTTCAGTGAGGCTGGGTGAAACTGGATAACCACATGCAGAACAATTAAATTGGACCTCTATCTTATACCACACACACACACAAATTAACTTGAAATGAATTAAGGACTTATGTATAAGACCTGCCATAGGAAAAAAGTTACTTGGCATTGGTCTTGGCAATGTTTCTTTGTATATGACACCAAAGCACAAACAACAAAAGGCAAATTAGACTACATCAAATTTAAAAGCTTCTACACAGCAAAAGAAACAATCAAGAAAATGAAAAGACAACCTGTGGATTGGGAGAAAATATTTGCAAACAATATATCGAAGAAGAGGTTAACATCCAAAATGTGTAAAGAACTTATGCAACTCAATACAAAAAACAAAGAACCAGTTAAGAAGGGGGCAAAGGACCTGAATAAATTTTTCCCAAGAAAACATGCAAATAGCCAACAGGTAATGAAAAAGTGCTCCACATCGCCAAACATCAGAGAAATGCAAATGAAAGCCCAGTGAGATATAACTTCACAGCTATTAGAATGGCTATTATCAAAAAGGCAAGAGGTAACAAGTGCTGGAGAGGATGTTGAGAAAAAGGAACCCGTGTACATTTGCTGATGGGAATGTAAATCGGTGCAGTCAATATGGAAACAGTAGGGAACTTCCTCAAAAAATCAAAAATAGAACTCTCGTGTGATCCAGTAAGCCCCTCTTTCTGGGGATATATGCAGAGGAAATGAAATCATGATCTTGAAGAGATTATCTGCACCCTCACATGCATTGCAGCATTAATCACAATAGTCAAGACATGGAAACAAGTGTCCATTTGCAGATGAAGGAATAAAGATGATGTACAATGGAGGATTATCCTACCATTAAAAAATGGAAATTGCCATTTGTGTCAACATGGATGAGCCTTGAGGGTATTAGGCTAAGTGAAATAAGTCAGAGACTAAGACTATATGATCTAACCTTTATGTGGAATCTAAAAAAGTCAAACTCACAGAAACAGAGTACAATGTTGGTTGGTAGGGTTGGAGATGTGAGAAATGGGGAGATGTTAGTCAAAGGCAACAGACCTTCAGTTATAAGATGAATAAGTTCTGGGGAATCTAATGTACAACAAGGTGACTACAATTAACAATACTGTACTGTATACTGGAAAGTGCTAAAAGAGTAGATCTTCAATGTTTTCACCGCTACCACCACTACACACACACACAAAATCATGCTTATGTGACATGATAGATGTGTTAACTAATAGTCTTTTGATAATCATTTCACAACATATACATGTACCAAATCATCAAATTGTACACCTAAGCTTACACAATGTTATATGTCAATTATATCTCAATAAAGCTGGAAAAAAACACTAGACTTAGAAAATTTCCAAGATTAAAATCATAAGGAATATGTTTTCTGACAACAGAACTAAATTACAAATAAATAACAATGAAATATCTTTTAAAGTTCCAAATATATGGTAATTAAGCGTGGTCTTCTACATAGCCCATTGGTTAAAGAAGAAGGCACTGGGAAAATAAGAAAATTTTGCAAACTGAATGTAAAAAATACCAAATTTAGTTGTTTTCAGCTAAAGTAGCATTTAGATAAAATACATAAATATTTATATGAGAAAAGAAGTAAAACTCAAATCAATAATCCAAACTTTCACTTAAAAATCTAGAAAAGAAGATAAAAGATAATGCCAAGTAATCCTCAATTTTTAAAATCCAAGTGACACAGAAAGTATTCTTTCTTTTCCTAGACCTGAGCGTGTAGATTCAGGCTTGCAGGTCAGAAGGAAGAAGTCAGTCTCTATAGTTCAGAGGCCACAGACAGGATCCACAAACTCAGAGAAGAAAAAAAAAGGATCACTTTATTCCTCTCTTCCCATTTCATACTGACCATTATAAAAGTATATTCACAAGAAACAGGAACCACTCTCATGACCCATGGTTTTTGGTTTTATTTAGTACCTCAGAGAAGTACAGAAGGATGTGTTTCATAAAGACTCCTAGTCCCAAAAAATAGAGAGTAATAAGAATATAATAAATCCAAGGAACTGAACTGAGAGCATCTTTATCCTGTTTATCTTTGTAAACAATAAGAATACAGGAATGTTCCATGCCATATCAAGTGGGAATTTTCACTTAGAACAATGTTCCTCAAATTTAATATGCTTACAAATCACCTATGATGTGATTAAAACCCAGATTTGGATATAGTGGATCTAGGTGCAGAATGTGGTGCTAAATTTCTAACAAACCCCAAGATGTTGCTGTTGCTGCTGGTCTGTGGACCAATGTTGAGGGACAAGAGCTTAGATTAATAAGTGAAGCTCATTTTTTCCCAGACCTGAGATTTTTAGCTGAGATATTTGAGGCATATTCATAGAGAATATCAAAATACATCATCAGAATGCAAAGCTATTTAAGCCAAAGATTTAGTTATGATTTATTGGAAACTGGAGGCAGTCCCGTCTTAGTGACCATATTTCTTCTGAGGACATTCTTCAAGGCTTGCTTTACATCTTTGTTCCGCAGACTGTATATCAATGGATTAAGCACCGGACTTACAAAGGTGTAGAAGACAGCTATGATTTTGGATTCAGCGACAGTCTTATCTGTTGGTGGTCTTACATACATGCAGAAGAGTGTCCCATAAAATAGGGTCACAGCCATCATGTGGGAACCACAGGTGGAGAATGCCTTGTGCCTTCCCTCTGCTGATTTGATCCGGAGGATGGCAGCAATAATGAAGGCATAGGACACCAGGATGATGCTGAGGGAGTTGGAGAGGTTGAAGCCAGCTGATATGAGCATGGCATGCTCTTTGACATGAGTATCAGAGCAAGAAAGCTTAATCAGTGGCGGGTCAGCACAATAGAAGTGGTTGATGACATTGGATCTACAGAAGCTCAAGCGGAAGGTCAGGATGGCCTGCAAAAGCCCATCTGAGAAGCCATAGACATAAGGAAATGTGGCTAAGCCAATGCAGACACGCCTGGACATTTTCATACTATAGCGCAGAGGGTTACATATGGCCACGTAGCGGTCATAGGCCATTGCTGCCAGCATGTAAAACTCAGTGAGGAGAAGCGCGATAAAGATGTAACACTGTGTAAAGCAGCCAGCAAAGGAGATGGTCTTCTTCTCTGATAAGAAATTAGTCAACATCTGCGGGGTGGCATTTGAGGTATAGCACAAGTCTACAAAGGCCAAATTAGTGAGGAAGAAATACATGGGTGTGTGAAGATGAGAGTCCAGCCTGATCAATAGTATCATGCCCAGGTTGCCCAAGAGGGTGGCAAGGTACACACACAGAAACAGCACAAAGAGGAGAGGTTGGAGCTCGGGACGATCTGTAAGCCCCAGAAGAATGAATTCTCTTATTGCACTGTCATTTGTGATAGACATTTTCTGAGAGTCTGGACCTGCACTAGAAACAACAGAAACAAAGCAGACAGGAAGGTACAAATCATATTACTGACTATTGAAATAATTTTTCTCTGTACCTCCATGTGTCATTCAAAATGAATACTACCCTAAATACATTCTGTACTTCTACTAATCCATTATGTCATTTGTCTTTGTATTGAATTACTATTATATTTCTCTATATAGACACCTACAGTTACACCTTCAGCTATACCTATAGATAACTATAATTATAACTATAACTATCCATATATATACAACTGAGCTACATATCCTCTTGCTCTCTGCAATATTTTTTGCCTCTCAAACTCTACTTATCCTATAAGGTTCGGTATGTTTTATGCTTCCCGCACACCCTACATACTTCTCATTCATTTTGTAGCACATTACATAACCATAATGTGTCTACTTTCCACTCCTCATATATTCCTTCCACAGGCGCAGAGACAAAGTCTAGCTCATTATTGCACTGTGACTTTTTTTTTTTAAGATTTTATTTATTTATTTGGGGGGCCAGCTGAGGAGAGGGGGTGGAGCAGAGGGAGATAAAGAATCTCAAGCAGCTTCGACGCTGAGCTCAGGGCCGGATGAGGGCCTTAATCCCACAACACTGAGACCATGACATGAGCCGAAATCAAGAGTCGCATGCTCCACCGACTGAGCCACCCAGACACCCTGCGCACTCTGACTTCTAAGTAGTTTTTATGAACTGAATTTTAAAAAGAAAAGAAAAAAAAACAGGGTAAGGATGAAAAATTAATTACTTACAAGTGTTTACTCCTCTCTGTATCCCCACGGAGCTTGACATGACATCATGTCCTTAGGAGAATTAAGAGCTTTGTGAATTTTAGTGTACAAAGAAATTTCCTGGAAAGGTTCTTAATCAAGAAAAGTCACAGAAAGTTTGTTTAAGAACCTCTTATGTGGGATATGGGGATCTTCATATGTAACAATTATCCAGGAGATTATAAAGCAGATGTTCCCAGTCACAATTTTAAAAGGCACAGTCACAGTGGTCTTGTAAACTTATGGCAAATAAATGAACAAAGAATCATCAAATCATATTAATTCTCACTCTGTATTTTGCAGTCTACAGTGATGACAATGTGTCGATAAAGAAACCAGTTTTGCATAGTTAGTATTTAAGTTGTTAATCACAACTTTATCTGTCTAGAGGTATGACAATCCCCATGGCTTTTTTAGCTCTCCTTTACATCATTACTAGTGTTGAACTTCTTCTTCCTTCCTCTCAAATGCCTTTTTTTTGCCCTTTTTCTCATATTCAATTTTTTAAAACTGGCCCAATTCTTATCTCATTTCAAAATGAGGCACTGAAACTTAGTTTAGTCTAAGTTTTAGAGAGCCAATGACAATGTCTTTTTGTGCTTTATCTCCTTTATCCAGAAGGGTAAGTACTTAACATTTGTCGAATACACTAGTAACAGTTACTAATAATGAGCAATGACCCTTAACCATGAGTTTTCATTTCCTCATTTGTAAATGGGAATGATAACTTCTGCCTGTCTCTAAAGACATTGTGGACATCAAACTAGATGTTCATAAAATAAGTGTTTATTGATACTCAATATATCATGTGATTAGGCCCTGCGGATGCCAAAATGAACAGAACCTTCAAAAATCCATGCCCTTCTAGCCTTCGCATCTAGTGGAAAGAGACACAGAGTAGTGAAAGTAAGTAAATGGTGATTCGAATGGCAGTGTTATAGAGAAAAATTAAGAAAATGGAGTTTTGTGGAGAGGGTGTTCAACTTTTAAATAGTAACATCACTGAAGTACTCATGAAAAGGTGACCGTTTTTAGCAACAAACTGAAGGAAGATGAGCACAAGCAGTAAGCTTATTTTAAGAAGGGTGTTCTAAGGAGATTAAAGAACAGAGGCAAAGGTACCATATGTGATCTTTCTTTGGAACTGCTAGGGATGTGTGTATGTGTTCAGGTTTCATGCAGAGGAGTGAAAAAGTCCCAGCTTAGATGTTCCCTAAAATGTAAATGATTAACTTCTTTGAAAGCCTGATTCATCTCCACTTATGAGTTTCCTACCAAGAATAGCAATGACCTTCACTGCAGAACAGGAGTCAGTGGAAGGGAGTTGCAGCTACTCTTCCAGAAGTGTCTAGCAGGAAATTACCCTTCAAACAGCATATTTCTTTAAATGACATCAACAGGATGGCTTAGGAGATAATTTCATATTCGTTTGCACCCAGGAAACCCTAGAAAGAGTGGAGATAGTGTTCCCAGAAAAATGGAAAGAAAAAGATCAGGATGTGCAAATTTCAGATTTATAAAAGGCACGACAGGAAATTGGACTTGAAAGGCTCATTTGCAGAAAAACTCATTTGTTGCATGTCACTTAATGACTGCCTATGGAATCTGAAATGGTCTTGACCCACGAGCTCAGTGACTCATGTGGGATCCAGAAACATCCACTTGAAAGTAGAGCAGAAGTCCTGATAAGTTAAGACAGGCACAAAAAAGACAATGAATAACATGTTTGCTGAAAAAGAACATCACAGATGACCCAGCTGCCTGGGTCAAGCCAGAGTGAAAGGTGAACATCTTCTGAGTAATGAGTTGTGGGTTTAGTAGTTTACAACCAAGAAAAGTCCCTACTAACGAGGAAAGAACCAGCAAAGGAGTTGCAAGAGGACAGTACAAAGCTGCAAGTGGTAAAGCGTGGAACTAATTTAGCTAATAAAACAGGGTCCAGTACAAAATAAGAATGTTAGTTATCCATGTTCAAAACATCAGGGATTTCAAGATGGTGACATCAGGGCATGAAACCTAGCTTAACATGCCTCTGAAATCAGGGTAAGGTCCGCTGCGCAAGGTTCTTGCCCATGAAGCCAGGTGTTCCCGGAACACAGAGACTAACAGAGCTGATGATGGGGATATAGAAGGAGGAGAGCACCCCCGTGAAAAGAAGAAGTAAAAAGAAGAAAAAGGATAAAAGGAAAAAAAAACCTCAGGCAAGGATTCAGCCCTGGAGAAAATGTGCTAGAGGGCAACACAGCTCAATTCATCTAGCTGTCTAGACAATTTTGTAGCCCATTCTTTTATGAGAGAATGAGAAAAGACTTTGTTTCTGAAAAAAAGGAAGAAAAGTTAAGGAAGAACCCTTAGCAAGAATTCTGTGAAAGAACGGGCCTTAGACTTCTTCCTTTTTTTTTTTTAAATGCAAATCTCATTAAAAAATCTAATGAAACCACTGAAACTATGGATCCACAAAGAGGATAAATGCATACACTCAAAATCTTGCCAAAAAGTAAATAGATAGATAGACGATAGATAGATAGATAGATAGATAGATAGATAGATAGATAGATGATAGATAGATGATAGATAGATAGATGATAGATTAGATAGATAGATAGATAGATAGATAGATGACAGATAGATGATAGATGATAGATTAGATAGATAGATAGATGATAGATAGATAGATAGATAGATAGATAGATAGATAGATAGATATAGATAGATAGGTAAATAGATGGATGGATAGATAGATAGATAGATATAGATAGATAGATAGATATAGATAGATAGATAGATGATAGATAGGTAGATAGATGATAGATGAAAGTAAGGGTCTCGTAGATCTCCTGGCTTCAACTCTAAGAACTTTCTGTTAGAGTCAGCTCTAACCCATGCCTGAAAAGTTTGCATATTTCACACAAACAAGGTGCAAATTGCTGTGCCTCAGTTTGAGACTTTTTGCCATCTCCTCTTGACTAAAAATAAAGAACATAAAAACACAAATACTTACTTCTAGTTGTGAAATGCATCTATTTTCTCACCTCTGATTAAAGAAGTTCACTGAGGCCTTTCTAAGCTACTAAATGTAGCTGCATTTATACCAGGATGTGGGAGGTAGAGACAGGTCATCAAGCAAGTCACAGAAGAACTTGAAAATAGCATGAATGAGTGTTACATGGGGAATCAGGCCTCTGGGGATTAATTAGGACACTCTGGGATCAGAAAGCTAATCATATGCCTCGGTCTTATTTTCCATAATTTCAAATTTCCTATTTGCCCTAAGAGCTCTGGGGAAGGCACACCAAAAAAGTTCATCTTGAAATTTTGATGATCATCTGATTTTTTCCATTTCTTTCTTTCACACTAAAACTGTTTCCTCTCTTAAACTCCAGAGCTCTCAGAATGTCCCCTAGATGAGTATCAAAGTCTTGGAGATGGTCAGTCACAGGTAGAATTGTGAAACACACAGGGCAGTGGCAAACGGCTTGGTGAGCACTTCCTATGTGTGGACAGCTTTCACATAGGTACTTGCATGTCCTCAAAATAACCCTAAGAGGCAGAGACTCCATCCTGAATGTTCAGCTGAATAGACAGAGGCTCCACTAAAGCAGCAGTGAGGGACTAACTCCCCCAATGCCACATAACTACTAAATGGAAGGTTAGAATTCGATGCCCACCTTCACATGCTGAGTGGACTCCATTTTCAATTGTAGGTAGCTGCCATGCCTCAACCTGCTGTCACACTTTGTCCTCTGTCCACCTCTGGCTTTAAATATTCCCTGAGCTTCCCCTCCACTCAGCACCTTCCTCATTCCCATCAGATTCAAGCTGCTTCTAGCAGTAGGACAAGCTGAAATAGATGTCTCTCAAAAGATGTTTTCTCTGCCTCCACAGAAACGAGACCTGAGCACTCTGCCATGTGTTCTTAGAGATCTGCCCCCATCCCTGTCTAACACACTCTGTTTCATTACCTTCCATTATCTCTCTTGCCACCATGACATACACCACAAACCCATACAGGCAAGGACTGTGATCTCAGCATCTAGCCCAGGCCCTGGGACATAATAGTTCATCAATAGATACTTGGTGAATAATACAAGGAGTATGTAATATGCACTTAATTCTGTGAGCACACAACAAATCTTGGTCATTCCCTCCCAAGGAACTTTGCATTTTATGGAGCATACTTCTTTTTTCCTCACAAATGAAA